CTTTTAATTAAATCTTGTTTATTAGGTATAGGATACCTAATCCATTTTAATACTTTATTGAGAGGTTTGTAGTTTATTACTAGTCGTGGAGCACCTCTTTCTTGTTCTGAGGCTTTATTTATGTAAAACTCAGTACAACTCCAAGGTGATTTTGATGGTCTAATTAAACCTTTTTTCAAATATTCTTGTAATTCTTGTTTGCAGAATTTTAACTGTTCTTCATTCATTTGTATTGGCCTAACTTTTGTAGGTATATTTGTTTCATTAAATCCTTCTTCATATGGTAATTCTATTTCATATTTCTTCCTATGGTGAAATGCTATAGGATTTAGATTAAAATCTTGTATAATTTTTTTTAATTTTTTCATTTTTTAATTGTTCTTCTTTTTGTTTTCTTTCTATTTGGTTTATTCTAGTTATTGATGCTTCTTGTACTAGATTTAGTTCTCTAATCTATGGTGGTTGTAAAATTCAAATTTTATTTCTTTATCTAGTATTACTTTACTAATAATTCTTGTGCTATTAATTTCACAATGATATAGTAATGTTAAAAATGGAATACCTAAGATTATTTTGTTTCCTATATTTTTTACTAATATAAATAATGTAGTAAAACATATTTTATTTTTACAGATTTTTTTCTTTTGAAAGCTTATAGTTTATATTAAGTTTGTTTCTTCTGGCTGCTGATAATTGTTCTGTAGTTTTTTCATAATATTTTGTGGGTATTACTCCTTCTTGTATACAATTAACATCTGCTCCTGAGTCTATTAATGCTATTAAATTGAATTTTTCTTATTCTACAATTAATGTAATTTCACACCACCATTTATGTGAAGTAATTAATGTTAATAATTCTAAATTAAATATATCTGGTTGATCCTTTATACCTGATGTACTAGTTTGATTTTCTTGTGATCTTAAAATTTCTTTTCCTTCTAAAGATAATAATCTAATTTCTAAATCTTTTTGGTATTCTTTTAATTCTTTTATTTCTGTTTTTAGATTTACTATTTCTTTTTGTAAATCTTTTATAGTTGCTTGTTGACTTGGGGTTCTAAATCTATTAAGTACTTCTGTCATCTCTATTGGTTTTATTACTACTTCTCTTGGCTCCTCTCTGGTAACAAATTTATTTAGTTTTTTAATAAATTCTGTTTTTAAAGGTCCTTCTTCTAATTCTTCTATTATTGTTATTAAAGACCGGGTTTAATCCTTAGTTATAGTATTTAATTGCGGGATTTTACAATCATCACAATTGCATAATCCTGGTCTTAGACAGAAATCTTGTTCTTTTTCAAATTCTTCTGAGGTATTATCTAATTGATAAATTTCATTTTCTTGTATATTTTCATCTTCAAATTCTCTATCTGAGAATTTTGGTTTTGGCTCAGAATTTATTAAAACCGAATAAAGAACTTGTTTAAATTCTCCACTTTCAATAGAGTTAATTTTCTTTTCAACTCTACATTTATCAGCACGGTGTCCATATTTACCGCACTTCCAACAATTTCCTTTAAATTGATTACTATTATTATTATTTTGTTGTTTAGGAATATTCTTCTTATATAGTTTTTTATAGGTATTTCTTTTGTATGGCTTCTTTTGATAATTAGGAGGAGTTTGATTTTGTTTTCTCTAATGAGTTTTCTTAATTATCCTACTAGGAGCTTGTATAGGTCTTATTCCATATTGTACACAAAAACTTCCTAATTCTGCTTTTCCCTTGCTTTCTAATTTGATTTTGTAATTTTATGTCTTCACATATTTTTATTCCTGTATCTATTACAAAACCATGCAATTGTCCTAAAGTTAATGTTCTATAATCTATGTGTTCTCCTAATCTGGTTTTAATATTTTCTATAACCTTTACTTCAAATAAGGAAGGAAGGCTACAAATAAATCTTTCCTTCCAATATGGTTCATTAGCATCTTCTAACATCGTTACTTTTGACATAAACATGTCCTTATACCACTCATAATCAGTCATAGTAGGACATCTAAGCTTATGTAGTTGTTCTCTTATTCTTTCTTTTAATACTATAGGATCTCCTGTAAAATGTAATAATATTGTATAGATAAGTGTTACAACAGCATCTTGTTCATTATTTTCTTGTTTAACATGTCCTAATATAAATTCTCTATCTGCAGGTGTTACATAATTGTCTCACCATCCTCTAAGCTGTCAAGTAAAGCCTTATACAATAGTTGCAGTTGTTACTCTATCAGAGGCATTTTTCATTTTGTAGGCAGTAGCTGCCATAGCCATCTGTTGTGTAATATCAAAAATTTGTTGTTCAGAAGCACCGTCAATATTCCATTCTACAATGTCATTGCCTCCATAAGAGTTTTGTACAAAGTGTGGTCTATTTTCTAAGGCAACATCTGATAGTGACGGTCTTTTGTAATAATGTTTAATTTTTGGATGTTCATAAATTTTACTAATTTCTAAGGTATTTATTGTTTGTTTATCTAAACTTAATTTAGCTATTTTTGTTTTTATTTCTTCTATATCTAATTCAAGTCCAGATTTTTTTTTCTAATTCTTTCATGGCTTGTGCTGACATAGTAGTAATTTGATATATTGGTTTATCTAAATAATGTGATTTTTTAATATTATTATTACTATAATTTTCTTTATTATTTTCTATTCTGCTTAATTGATTAGTCATTAAGTTTATTATTGTGTTAGAATAATTTAATTTTTGATGTATTTTATTTATATCTTTTTTATTTATTGGTTCACTATTTTCATTAGTCTTTTTATAAGGGCTAGCTTCTACTTCTTCATTTTCTACTTGTATTTTTATTTGTTCTAAAGGAGGATATTCACCTTCTATTATTTTTCCTGTGGTTGTTTTTCATATATTTTTAATTTTTTGTAAAGGATTTATCTCTTTATAAAATGGATAATTTATATTATTTTTAATACAATATTTTTCCATCCATGGAAAAAAATAAGTATTTATTTGTATTTCTTCTAAATATTTATAAAAATTTTCTCTAATTTCTGTCCTTTATTGTTGACTAAATGTTTCTATTAACCAAGTTTTTCTATCTATGTTGTGTTCTCCATCTATGTCTTCTTTAATCCATTTTTTATCTATAATAAAAAGTTCAATTTTTTCTATTGTATTCAAAACTTGAGAAGGTGTTGGGCTATAATTTATTTCAGAATTTTGGTCATAGACTGGAATAGAAACCCCTAGTCTAGTTATATTGTCTATTTTGGTTAGGTCTATATCTACTGTTGATCCGCTAATAGAATGTCTTGAGGGTTCTCTCATAGTGGATGGTTGTATTATACGAATCGATCTAGACCTATTCATTCTTAGTCTAAACCTTTCTGGTTCTTTTATTATATCCCTTATCTCTGTATTTTCTTGTTTAATAGAAGAGGGTTCTTCAAAAACCCATTCTTCTGGTATGGTTAATTGGTCATGTCTTAATCTTTTAGATACTTGTACTAAACTTCTATTGAGATTGGCTTGTATGACTACAGTTTCATCTCTATTTATTTGTCTATTTGCTTTAAATCCATAAGAGATTTTGGTAATTTTGTAATAGACTCTATAGATCACATGAAATGGATCAAACGAGTCATCTACTATATTTTCTTTTATTTTTGTAAATATTTTTATAGCTTTGGATGTTTTCTCATTATCTAAAGACATTGATATGTTGGGATAACAATTAAAGAAAACTGGTTCATCATGTAAATTACTTTCTAAAGCTGCTATTATTGAATCACTTTTATTTTGTAACTTCATATCTCTTAATAGTACAAGTATAGGAAGATCTACTCTTATCTTAAAGTTTGGTTTAACTGCTAATTGTATTAATCCTATATGGATAAATTTAAAACATTCTTGTCTATGGTTTTGTATAAGTTGATCTTCTAGAAGTTGAATTGCATCATTTAATTTTGTTCCAAGATAAGAATATTCTATTTTGTGAATTTGTTCATGATTATTTCTAAACGACCAAACAGATCTATCTTTGTATACATCTTTTTTTTTTAACTATGGGTATTGACCAATCATGTAAGGATTTTTCTATATCATCTATGGTAATCTGTTGTGGTGTTGTTGAAGAAGAGGAAACTATTTGTGAAGAGGAAGAATTTTCATCTTCTGCTCTCCTTACTCTTGTAATTATCTCTTTGTTTCTACCTAGAGTTAGATTACTCATTATTCTTAATAAATTTGCTATCTTGAATCCTAAAGGCTACGAGAACACCAAGGCTTACCAACGGTTTTATTATCCACGCTCAAGACTTACTATCGGGAACACCCTCTAGGCTTACCAATGTACACACAGCTCTCACTGCTACCCATTTGTATTCTAAATAACAAGCTTATATTAAACAAATTATAAACAACTCAAGATATGACAAAAAGAAGACTTTAAGATTAATGATGTGCATATGATGTTCAATTCTAACCATGTGCATATGATGTTCAATTCTAACCTCTCTCCCCTCCTGAAATATATATATAACATAAAATAATGAATATGTAATTAAATAGTTGGATATATATATATTCTTAAAGAATTTATCAATTAATTTTTTAGAAATGAAAAACACAAGTACTGATAACCTGGGAATGAATAGTTAAATGTTGCAAGAGAACAAGCCACTCCAACTGAATCATATATATATTTTTTATTAAATAATAAATATCTATTTTATATTTAAAATTAATTAATTTAATGTTTAGTTTTATAAAAATTCTACTTTAATTTTTAATATTTTAAAAATATTAATTTTATTTTTTATTATTATTATTTTATATAATTTTTTTAAATAAATACTATTTTGTAAATTTTAAAATTAAAATAATTTTTTATACTAGAACTATTTATATTTAGAAGGGATTAAAATAAATAATTTTTTATATGAATTATTATATTATATGAAATTAGATAAGAATCCCATAATAACGAATGTGGTGGAAAGAAAATTTATTAAACTAAATTAGAAGTCGGCGTTGAAGTCCGATGAGCCTTCAATTTCAAAATGCACAACCAAAGAAAGCAGTAACAACAACGTTGGTATTATTGTTATTGTATTGTTGTTAGTCTTTGAGTTGAACCTTTGTGAGGTCCCTCCTTGGAGCCCATGGTTGGTCTCTCTGTTGTGGAGTTCAACCACTGCTCCAACGGCCTCCTTCTCTCTCTTCAAACCCACCCTTTTCTTCAAGCTTTTAAGGTTTCTCTTTGCAACCGGTGATTATTCTTGGTTGTACTTGGATCTGGGGTTGTCTTGTTTCGTATGGATTCTGACGGGTCTGCGCTGTTTTCATTCTGAGCTGTTTTGCCTACTGGGGTTGCTTTTTCTTTTTTTTGTAGAGTTCATTAAGGATAATTTGTGTGCCATGTAGGTGATTCAGGTTGGACTTTTCTGTTTGTAGAGTGAAAAAAATCATTTCTTTGGGGGTTTATGTCGGGGATGTGCTAGTTCTAGAAGAATCTGTCGCCAGTTCATGATGTAAAATTTGAAACTGGTGAAGCTTGAATTTTCAAATTATTGTAACTTGTGATCTGAGTACTGTTAGGGAAGGGTTGTTGTTTGCTATGAAATGTGAACATGTTTAGTTTTCTTATTTTGGGTATTGCAGTGGTTGATGTGAGTCTCATTGTCACTGTTTTGTAGATCAGCTGATTTGAAAAAAGAGAGATGTGGTTTTGAGTCCTGACTGGTTCAGATTCTGGCAATCGTGTGCCATACGTTGTGTCTCTGTCAAATATCAACCAACTTGACTCAGAAATGGAGGGTTTTGGTGTGTAAGCTAGAAAAATTCAAAGGTTGACATTTGTTTTATTTTGTCAAAGAGGCTGGTGATGTCTCCTGAACCACAATTTTCAACAATTCAGCAAGAGTTTTGCTAGGGTAAGTAAGTTCAATTGTTACTAATATTTCTGGGTTCGTTGAGGAAGGAGGAAATTGGTATGGCTGTTGCCAAGAGCAACAGCAGCAGTGAACCTTGTACTTCATACAATTGTTACAAAGTAGGAGGCTTGACTGAAACCATATTAGACACAAATCATATCTCTAATTTGAAAGATCGGTACGTTCTTGGGGAGCAATTGGGTTGGGGGCAGTTTGGTGTCATAAGGGCATGCTCTGACAAGTTAACAGGAGAGGTTTTGGCCTGCAAATCAATTGCTAAAGATAGGTTGGTTACTTTGGACGATTTGAGAAGTGTCAAACTCGAGATAGAAATAATGGCTAGGCTATCTGGGCACCCCAATGTTGTAGATCTCAAGGCAGTTTATGAAGAGGAAAGTTTTGTTCACTTGGTGATGGAGCTTTGTGCTGGAGGAGAGCTGTTTCACCGATTAGAGAAGAACGGACGGTTTTCCGAATCTGATGCCAGGGTTCTCTTTAGGCACCTAATGCAGGTGGTTTTGTATTGTCATGAAAATGGGATTGTTCATAGAGATCTCAAGCCTGAGAATATTCTCTTAGCTACACGAGCCTCCTCATCTCCTATTAAGTTGGCAGATTTTGGGCTTGCAACCTACATCAAGCCTGGTACTTGATTTTTTCGCTTCCTTTGCACTTTGCAGATTATTAATCTTCTTTGCAATTTCCATTGCTTCTATGAATGTGTGTGGTGTTCATCTTCAAATGTTGGGATTTGTTTAAGCAGGTCAGAGTTTACATGGGTTAGTTGGGAGTCCATTCTATATAGCTCCAGAGGTACTGGCTGGTGCATATAACCAGGCTGCTGATGTGTGGAGTGCAGGTGTTATTCTTTATATTTTATTGAGTGGGATGCCTCCATTTTGGGGTAAGACCAAATCACGAATATTTGAAGCTGTTAAAGCTGCTTCCCTGAGATTTCCATCGGAACCTTGGGATTGCATTTCTGAATCAGCTATGGATCTGATCAAGGGAATGTTGTGCACAGACCCTTCTCGAAGGCTCACTGCCCAAGAGGTTTTAGGTAAGTTTACTTTGTTTTTTCTTTCCTTCTTCCCTTTCCCCTTGTTAATGTCTTCCGGCTGAAGTGATTTTATTTTGATTCATCCATTGGTGTTCAAGGGAGCATTTTAGACAAGCAGGGTAATGGCATTTCAACTGAGATATAGACTACTGATTAGAATTTGAAAATAAAAATATTATTACTATTTATTGAACACGTGGTAACCTGGAGCATTAAGAATGTGCTAATGCTGCTTATCAACCCCATACGATAACTGTTCCATTCAATTAGATTATGGCAAATGGTTCAGCAATGAAATTATGCTGTAACACCAAAAACTATTAAAACTAAAAGAGGTTGCTTATAGTGTGGAATTCATCTTATCCTGTCATTTTTGGTATGTCTGTTCAAAAATTTATTGTTTAAGACAATTAAATAGAAGAAAAGAAATGAAAAACGAAACAAATACATTTTTTAATCTTCATCTGAACTTTCCCTTTCTAGATCATTGCTGGATGGAAAGCGATCAAACAAATCCTGAACAACTGAGTGAACATAAAATTAAAAGTTATGAAGAATGGGATGTTGGTGGCAGCTCATTCTCTGCCTCATTTATGTCCAGGAATCAAGACATCAGCTTTGGCACTGGTTTGCCTACCTGCGACGCTCAATCACCTACATTCACTTGCAGATCTTCATTTTCTTCTTTTTTGGTGGAGCCGGTGTCTCCTTCTCTAGTTTCTGGTGGTTTTTCATTTCAGAGCACAGGCGATTCCCCTACTGGTTTGGAATTTTCTTCGCCTGTTCCCTCTATGCTTAGCTTTTCATTTGTCAGCCCTGCATCAGTTGCTGAGCAAAAGGCTTGTAAGTTAGAGTGCTCAGCTGACATGTCAGAGGTTAATGCAATTGCTGGAGGTATGCATTGAAGTTTCACATTAACAGTTTTTACATTTTCTTAGCCCTTTGATCTGATTTTGCTTGCAATTTTTTGCAGAAGCAAACTTGGGAAAGTTACTTATGCTACAAGATTCTCCCTTTTGCATTGGACATGATGTTAAAGAAATGGATCGCAGGCCAGTGGAGACTAAAAGGGCAGGTGGAATGAATGGACATAGGGTATTGGGAATCCACAGCAAGAGGAACAGGACAATTGGACTGGGCGAGTGTGAGCAACTTGACCTTGTGGTCACTGAATCAGTCATCCGTTGGTCTTCATGCACTCAACTCCCTACATCTTTGAGATCATCTCTTGTCTGCTAAACTGATAGAAGACTCAACTCGACTTGACTCATTGATCGATTTGCTTCATGTTGTGCCTAAATTCTGGCGTACTTGTGCAAATTTTGGTTGCCTTAACACATTGTACATGTTTTTCTTATTTGTATTGATGTTAAACTGTCTTGTGGCTGGTGCAAGGTTTTGTTCAGTTTTGGTGGCGGTTTAGTTGTGTCTGATTGAGAAGCGGTACTACACTAATTATTCACTTTCTTAGTTTTTCCTCCTCCTCCTTTTCCCTTCTCATGTACCAAGTGTGAGTAAAAGGCATTCAATCTGCCTGGTTTGTAAATGTTGTTGTATCTTGATGACGGTACTTAAGTTATCTTAATCTAATGTTTCTGTTACACGTTTTTTCCTAGATTGCCAAGATATCAGTATTAATGTGTGTTTCATTCAGTTTATGTTGAAGTTTTTTTTTTCTTTTTTGTAAAAGGAAAAGAAGTTATTATTTCTCTCGAAACAATGTATCCGAAACATGTACTTAGCTTTTGTGCTTATTTTCTTTCTACATAAAAAATATTTTAATCATTTATGAATTATAAAACAGCTACTTATGAACTGTGCTAACTACGTAAATGCTGATAATTTCCATGTCTCTACTAATTAACTTTAGTTCTTGGTAGAGCTGTCATATTATGAGTTACTATAACCAATGAGTTGGGTAAATCGAGGCATGAAAATTCACGATGTTATCAGCCTAGTTTGTTTTTAAAATTGTGGGACAAATTGTCCATTTTGTGGCTCCAGTTCTTGGCACAAAAAATAAGAATAAAAAACTATGATTCTATCAATTTGTAGTCTGGACTGCGAAAATGTTGATGAGTGGTATAGATTATGGGGTAGGACAATTTCCAGTAGAATTGAATGTGTTGAAGGTCGAAGCGAGCTTGTGATAAATAATTGTTCGTGACATCTCAGCTCAACAATGATTAATGGGCATATATGTGGGAAGAGAGAGTGGGTTGGTTTGGTTTGTCATCATTCATTAGGCCATAAGTCAATGCACCTTTTGTATATTATATTATAAATGTCTGGATGCAAATCATTATGGCTAACATGACAACTTCGTGATTCCAACACCTGTTTTTTACTTAATTTTATGTCCGAAGTCGTAGGTTTTAGATCTCCTTGTATATTATATTATACACAACTTTTCTTTGTAAATCTCTTATAAGATATTAAAATGTAACATATAAAATTATGAATAAACTAGTGATTACAAGTAAATCTAAATTTAATGAGTATTTAGAATATCTATTCATTGAATAGCTGCGTGCATATATATATATATATATAATTTAAAATAATTAAATAATAAAATTTTATATTTTTGTAAATAATTATATATACACAAATATATATTAAAATGATAAATATTTAATAAAATTGAATAATTTTAAAATATAATTTATGTAAAATAATATTTTTATTGTATAGAGTTAATTTTTTAAATAAAATGTCAATAATTAATATATGTTAATAACTATAAATTTAAGAGATAAATTTTTTAAAATAAATATTAAATTATATTAATTAATTAAAATATAGTTAATGGCTGGACATGAATATATAGATATCCATACATACGGAAACTAAAATTATGTCCAGAATTCAGGTACGGACCTTTTACTAAAATATGGGTACGTGAGTGTGTGTGTTCTAATACTATATTCATTGATCCCTCTTGTATATATATTTTTACTATTTTTTTAGGCTTAAATTTAGAAAAATTAGTTTTTTTAATAATTTTAAAACTTTGAACTTAGATTTTTAAAAGGCGTTAAACACATCTACTCGGGTATCATGTCATGTGGCTTGCAAAATTCTATAAATTATATATTAAAAAAAAAAGAGGAAGAAAATGAAAGAGCAAAAGGGTATTATACCCACGAGTGTAAAGTACAAGAACAACTCTGTGATAGTGAGGGCCTAATCGATTTTGTGATGTGAAAGATGCCACTACATTAGGCAATAACACAAGACCATTAATAATGTTGTTATGTTACCTTCGTTTCTAGAGAGACAGGGAAACACCTCAAAGTTAAATGTCTGCTTTGTCAAAAATGCACACATGATTCTGTCCCTTGACATCCACCACCACATCTTTTGGGGACGACACAGAGAAAAAGCTGTGACAAAATTAAATGGGTATATCCCTTAGTTTCTAATGCAAGTTTATTTATACAAGTGCCTCAAATATACTTGCACGTCTGCATATATGGTGAATTATTGTCCAATCCTTTTTCAGTTCACATCCTGTTGCAAAGATCAAATAAACTAAGCAATGGCCCCTACCACTCTATCCAATGATGTAAAATAAGATTTAAAAAAAAAAAACTTCGATATATTATGGCTTAGCTAAATAAGGTTGATCCAGTTGGTAAAAACTAGATTCGTATCTCATAAAAACATGAATTTAAATCTATTAATGTGGAGCTTTATTGATGAACGATTTGTAAGTGCTTTTGAATCTTGAAGCATGCTTTAACTTTTATAAACTTGAGGAATAAACTCACTTAAACTTTTTAAAATAATAATAATGACTTGATACATTATACGTGCATGCTATGCTATAATTACTTCTCATGTTCTCAAACATAATGATGAATTTAATGCCAAGACTTTGGAGTAGGGATGGCATAGCATTTGCTTTTCAAAAGGTACTTCTTCAGTTGTGACTATAACGATAGCAAGAGTTCTTTCTATCAACACAAAGACAAAGATAGTTACAAAATTATAGGATTTCTTTTTCTTTGCTCATAATGTCTAATATTATAAAGATAGTTGTTAAAGACAGCTTATGAAGATGGCATAATCTTAGTATAGTCATGCAAGGAGCTTTCATCAAATACAAATATTGGAGAATCCGATTGCAATTTTTAATAAGATAAATACCAATTTCTAACTTTAAAAGCATTCCCAACTGATTCTTCATACTCATTACTCACTTAGTCAGTGAAACAACAGAAGAATATGCCAGCAATAATGTACAGGTATAAAATCTAAAGAATGAGAGCTTTTGGCATACTGATACACATGGTTGGGCCACATTGAAGAAATTATCATAGTGCTACTCCAGGAAGCAGCATAGATATAACATGAAATACAAAAACGACAGAAATACGGTAATATTTTAAAAATCATAGGATATAATATGACTATGATACAACATATAAAATTAATCTAAAAACATTAGACAAGATCACAGGTATTGATGATGCCAAAGCCATGACAAACAAGTAGGAGCATTAAACAATTACAATCAGAGCTCTAAAAGCATACCTCTGAGCTGCTTTTGTATAGAAGATCTCACCAATCTCATTCTCTGCAGTTTTATTGATGTTTACACTTCAAAGTAGACATACTTTTGCATACTTGATGGGATGTGTATTGCTGGAAAACCAAATGATGCATGAGAACTCTTTTCTTGTATGCTAGCTAAAGGGTTGCAAATTGATTTTCATACTTGTACTATGGTCTACGTAAAGAACTACATGACACACTGAAGAAAGGCTTACTTATGATTTGTGAATGTGGAAGAGAATGGATTCCCCCTAATAAATGCACATATCATGTCTATGTAATATTTCTAGGTCAACAAAATGCCTTCATATGATAAAAGGCATAGGTGTTTTCAGTGGATGCTACCACAACAGAATTGCTTATACTTATCAATTATCAACATCTCTGCTAATAAAGGAGATGAATGGTGATGCATTTGAAGAGTTTTCTGTTTGAATCAAAACCCCTAATAGGCCAATAAATAATTTGATGTGTTCATATTTGATTCTTTACAAGTGGTGTCTCCTACATTATATAACATTGGGTGATAGAGTAATGACTCAATAAGCACCTTCTTTAGTAAATTGTGGATGTTGCACTTGGATGTAGTTGAATATCAGATTTTTGCTCAATTATCATATTTTGTGGAATTGAGTCTTAAGACATTTATCTTTTTCAGCCTTTTCATAAGTCTCCATTTCAAGGCTGTTTCAAGTTTCAAGGGAGTTTTAGATATTAAAGTGATTTTATTTCTCATTTTGGATTCTCTTTTATTTATTTACTTTTTTTCCCCTGCCTTTTTAATTTTGGTCAATGTTTTTCTTATCTTATTTTGTGTTTCATGTTATTATGACCCTCCCGCCCACTGCATACCCCATATTTAATCATGTAGTCAGCTAAATACAGGATTTACTTTTTACATCACTCTTTTTCTTCTATTTGCACATAAATTTTAAAAATTATTAATAATACACTTCTAGAAATTAAATTTTAAAAGTGATTTTATACTTTAGAAATTTATTTTTAAAATTTATTTTTTGAAAAGTATAAAACTATTTTCTAAACTAAATTTCAAAAGTGATTAAACACACTTTTATAAATTAAATTTTTTAAAGTGATAGTAAAAGAGATGATGGGAATGATAAAACAAGGTGGTAAAACAGTAATTTTCCTAAATATTTTTGTTTGTGCCCAATTGCTTTTAACGGTGTGTGCTCCAACCCAATTTTTTATGAGCCCAAAACAGAGAACCCAAAGGTTATGTAGACAAAAAAAATTTCTTTAAAGTGCTCGTCCTTTTTCTTCTTCCTCTGCATAAATGATTGATATGTTTATATAGTTTTTACTTATAAGTCTGGGGATTAAACTCGAAATGGAATCGACTGAAAAAAAAAAAAAAAAACGAAAATGTGGAGATTAACACATACGCACACATAAATTTAAATGGATAAAAATTATAATATTATAATCATATTTGGACCTTAACTTATTAGTAATTAAACTAAAATAATAAGAGAGTATCAACAAAATAAAGTCTTCAATAAAACAAGCCTTAATTATCTAAAACATGGCTATTTAATTCAATTGGGAAATATATTGAATTCTAAATGAATTAATTGAAAAAAAAAAAAAAAAAAGAGAGAGAGAGCATAGCAATCCAATTTGTCATAGCAGCTCTTTTCAATTTTGGAAAACAAATTATGTCCTCAGATGAAAAGATAAGATTCATACTGAGCCACAAACCAAACCAGCCTCGTGTTCTTTTGGGGGCTTCAGAGAGTGAGTTTATGGTTATGTTAATTTCACTGAGACTATCTCTTTGTTTTAGGAAGTAAATCACACACACTAGATGAGTTGCAAAATAAACTCCTTAAGCCCACCGATTCCATGCAAATTGTACACAAAGAAACCAAAGCTTAGAAGAAGAAACACCATCATCTTCTCTTCCTTTACCTCAAGTGAAGAACAGCAAAAAACCAATTCCATTAGCACAACCACTGAAACCACAGCAACTGAGGCTTACACTGTGAATTTCAAGACAGAAAAGGGTTGCCAACTTGGCATTTCAAGATATCCTGACTTTGAATATGACGCTGAAGGGGGAAAGGGAACTGGGTCTGGTACAAAGGTGTCAGAGAACCCAGCCAACAATGACCTTCTTGTTTCATTTGATCTTGAAACTTTGTATATTCCTCCATTAACAAGTTCTACAACCAAGTTTCTTGGATTGCCTTTGCCACCATTTTTGAAGATTGATATAGTTCCTCAAGCATTCCAAGGAACTATTAACCAAGAATCTGGCAAGGTAAAACCGCATAGCTTCTGGAGATTAATTTCAACTTCAAAGGATTAAGCATTATGTGTACAACTTCTAGTGAGCCTAATACTTTAGGTAGTTTTAGCTTTGTTATTATGATTTTCTTCTCCTTAAGAAGAAAGTTTGGCTAAACACAATTTGGAAAAAGTAACTTAATTTCAATGAACTTTTACTCTTAAAGAGAAGAGAAGCTTAACAAAGCTGGTCCAACATTGGCCAATTTTTAACTTGCCATAGGTATCTCTAACTTCAATAAGTATTTATAGGAAATGAAAATCAGAAAATAAATTAATTTTTTTATAAATTAAAATCAACTTATGTTACTGTATTTTTTAGAAGGTCTTTAATTTTAACTTCTTAGAAACCTAAAATGTATAAGTTAATTTTAACAGACAAGAGAAGTCATCTTCTCATAAGTGCTTTTTAAGAAGTTTACTCAAACTTACCATAATTCCATAAACACCCAATTGATGATATGATTGCATTGTTTTTTTTTTTTTTCTTTTTCTTTTTGCAAAGGTTGATCTTGAATTCAAGGCCAAGTTCTTGTTTTCTGCTGGTAGTCTCTATAAGGCTCCCCCATTACTGGTGAATACAGTGTTGACATCTGAAGAATCAGAGGGCACTACGAAGAGTGTAAGAGGCAAGAGATTGGATAAAGAGGGAAAATGCAGACTGGTTGGTGTGGCAACAGTTGATCCTATTGATGATTTCCTTATGAACTCCTTCCTTGGCCTTCCAACTGAGTGTCTTGCCAACCTAAATGCTGTAATCTCCATTTCTTCCTCATCTTAAGATCTCATCACAAAAGTTGAACATATTTTGATACCTATATACAGTCATAATATCCAAGTTGAAAATTCAATGTGAAATAGTACAAGATGATGCATTGTACAGAACAGTCAAAATTGAACTAGTCGCCCTTTCCAACCTTGTGGCCTGATAGCCATATACAAAACTTTAGGTAAAGCAATTCTAATGGACCGAAATAATAATGAGTAAAGTGTAATACAATATCCTTCAATTTTTGTTATCTCAAATGTGTTTTTAACACTATTTTTTAAGGACTGATTTCGTGTATAAGGAGATGAAAGATTTTCATACAAATATTAAGAATCTATACACTTATTGCTCTTGAAATGTTTTAGTATACTGATTTTATACATGGACATGGAATTTTACAAAGCTGGTTCATAACTATTGCATGAGAAATTTGAAGAATTTTCATATTTGAGGGAGCTGAATCTAACCAGCTTGAACCGACAACATTGGTTTTCAAAATTCAAAAACTGAAATTTGTGGTTTCTGTGGGAATAAATTATACGAGTACTCATGCAACATTTTGGTATTAAATTCAGAATTTGACTTGAGAATCTTCTATACTTTGACCATGATTTTATTACTACATTGTAACCGAGAAATCAATCTATTTTGCATAAGCCATTAGAGGTGTGATGTTTGACGATTTTTTTTTACTCTATTTAAACACACACGAGCACATGACTATTGAACGAAAAATTGAACATGATAATGGCTAGATAAAAATTTGTTTCATGATTCGTGCAGTACTAAAATAATATTTTATTAACCATCATTCTCCAACATGAAAAGAAAAAACTTTGTAGTTTATATGTTACTGACACATTATTCTCCAGTGATAGTTTCCATGTGTCAAAGCTAAATAAGAAAACATATATATACAAGAGGTATAAACAAGGGACTCAGGCTTTGTTAGTAAGAAGTTTGAAGGAGAAAGGGGAAGCATAAAATGAAGTAAAAACTGAATAATTTGTAAAGTCTCTACCTAAAGAATAAAGAGTTGAGAAAGCATATAACTTTCGGCAGCTTATGACCTCAAATTATGATAGTGGGGAGTTTTGAAGTAAATACTCCATTATCTTGTTTACTGCTTCATCAAATATTCTAAATCGAACTACATCCTACCTACTAAAAATCATATATAAAGTGAAGGACTCTTCTGTTAGATGAAAGATAATTAATTACATTAAAAAATCGAAGTAAAATTCAAAACAAGAAAGAAAAGACTTGGGTTGTGAAATAATATTATTTTTAGCCTGAAATCTGACGACCATTTACTTATCTAAATTTATACGAAAATGACTTTTTCTCATCTCTCATTGTGGTAACGGTTTTTTTCACTCTAATGACCTCTCTCTCTCTCAATCTTAAAATTTCATGTTCACTTTTATAAATGAGATAAAGTGAACTAGCTAATTTTGGCCTTTTTTTTCACATAGAATGAGAGAGTAATATTTAATGCAAATAAAGTTAGATGAATCCTCTTTGTGCAGGAACAAAATGTTTAGTTTTATTTTCACTTAAAGTGATTAAATTCGCTTAAGCCACCCTATCCTGACATTTTCGTTTGAGCAGAAGTCGGATGACTTAAGCAAAATTCGTTAAAATTATTTTCATTTAAATAAATTTAAATTACCTTAAGCGAAAATCTGGAATTCATATTCCTGCGCTAGATCCCACTTTATGGGTTTTTAGATGTGTCTTATGAAAAACATCTATTATAATGTTTCGACAAATAAATTGCAAAGATAACTCCAACCGGTTAACTTGATGAAATGTGTTGTTATTTGGATGAAAAAATGCAGATAGACATGAAAAGAATAAAAGATAACAAAGTCAAATATAAAACAACAAAGTACCCGCTGTTATGCATTAATTTATTGTTTCGTAGGTTTATGGTGCCGGAGGCCTCCCTTGAAAGGGAAGATTGATTTTGTGATAATGTTGTTTTTATTGGCATGATAATTTTTAACAGCAAACCATGCAAAATAATGGTACATTACAGTAGTTTGATGCATATAGAAAATCTTCGTGGACTCTTTCTACATGACAGAGTTTAAGGATGACTTCAATGGGTGAATGCAAGTCAATTACACTGTAGTTATAAATCTTTTAAGCTATTTTAGTGAACATCTTTTGCTACTTTAATGAACAAATTTTACCACTTATTCTTCAAATTTTAGTTCATCTAGTTGCAAACTTACTATTGTTGAGAAAGTTGTTGGCCCTTTTACATTAAAATCCTGTGGCTTTGCTTGCTGTAGGTGCCAATAGGTGGTTTGACTCTATATATTTGTGCCCAACTAAATATCATCATATTTTTATAATAATAATAATAATAATTTTAATTTAATAAAATTTATACATTTTACTATAATATTTTTCTAAATACTTAATTTTTTATATTATACAATTATTATTTTTCCTTCCACTTTAAGTTAAAAAGATTCAAACAAATAAAAAAACTTAATTTTTATATTAAATTTCTATTTCTATTTTTTCTTGTAAAATAATGCCTCCAAACCAAATATAAATGTTAAACAACTTAGATTTATTTAAAAACTAGAAACAATTATGTTCTGTTTGGTTTATCTTAATATAAACCACTAGTGTCCGCTGTATCAAGTTCATGTTAGCATTCTCATATGATAAGGGTTACAGAAAAAAAAAATTATTCATTTTTTATATTGACTTCTATTACGAACTTGTCTAGAAATTTACACAAACTTAATTTACTTTGTTTGAACCTTTGTTTGAAAAACTAGCGCAATTTAATATGGATTTATGCATGTGATATACGAATAAATAAGTTTTTTTTTTAATGTTTTCTCAATGTTTTAAAGTGGAGTATTTTGAAATGAAAATCAAAACTCGGTAAAATGGGAGTAATCTGAAATTCATTTGATGCAATTAGATGAGACCTTGTATTCCAAAATGCCATGTGAGTGGTACAGCCAATCATCCATTAATTACACCATTTCCCACCCTTTTCTAATGAAACACTTCTCATCCATTAATCCTTACTAAGTCACTGAGATTGAAGCCAAACACTTCTCATCCAAAGTGTCATCAGGAAACATTTGCTTTGAGGCAAATATTTTCTCTGCTGGTGCCAAAGATAATGTGTTTAGTTTGAAAACTTGACTAGCCAGTAAACTGTCCAGCTCTACGTATCATGCATTGCTATTTGGTATAATAGAAAATATCACCTTCACAATATGAACTTATTCAAATGCAAGCCTTTGAGTACCAACCAGCGATGCATATTGGCCCTTCTTAGCCAATAGCTCAAAATGGGTGCCCAGTTCTGCAATCCTCCCCTCAGAACAGACTGCAATTTGATAGGCATTTTGGACTGTGCTTAATCGATGAGCTATTACTAATGTTGTCCTTCCCTTCATCAAATGGTTGAGAGCACCCTGGACCAGGCGCTCACTGACTGCATCCAGGGCACTGGTAGCCTACAAGCAGCCAAGAATATTTAAATCACGACAGGCATAGATAGGGTCATATCAAGGTTTTAAACTGCAGTTGCAGTTGTGTTGCTGATGCATTGAAGTTGTTGTCGTGTTATCTGAGTCAATGTAGTCTGCAATCATGTCTCAATGCACTTAAATGTTGCAACTGTATCTTACGATGTGGTCTGTGATTTGAAACAATGGATCGAGTAGATATCTGAAGCTTAAAGAGCAACAGTAAAGGTTCTAATGGCAGCATGATGCTGTGTGCCTTGGCTTTCCAGTGAATCCAACCTCATGTTATGATGAAATGAAGCATGGAGAGAGTATATAGAAATGCATAGAATTAAACAAAAATATCACCTCATCAAGTATAAGGATGGGAGCATTCTTTAGGAGAGCTCGGGCAATAGCAATTCTCTGTAATTTAGAAACATTAGAGTCAAGATTCAAGAACATCTGAACATTTCCATGCATAAAAAAGAACAACATGCAAGTGAAGGGTTGAATATGTAAACTATACTGTACCTGTCTCTGTCCTCCACTCAGTAGGCCACCACGCTCACCAACAAGTGTATCATACCCCTTTCAAGAAAAAATGCTTAATAAGAACACAATTTTATATATTATACCTATATATAAGCATCTGCTTAGCTAGAAGACAAACCAACCTGTGGAAGTGAAATTATAAAGTCGTGAGCATTTGCAGCTTTCGCTGCCTTAATCACATCTTCTCTTGAAACATTTTCATCTGGAAGTCCATATGCAATATTTTCTCCAACAGACACAGAAAACAGAACAGGCTCCTGTAGTATCTCAGTATTATTTGCAAAATAATGAAGCAACATGTTTAATATCAAACATAAGATTCTTTTCTTATACATATTTAGTTTTCATACTTGATTTACAATAGAGAAAACCCGGGCCCATTCACTTTTGTCAAATGTTCGGACATCCTCTCCTGCAACTGTTATACACCCTCTTGTTGGCTGCAGAAATAAAAATATTTTATGTATGTATTTTCAACACAAAAATCAATCAGATTCATCTTCGCTTGTAAGATAAGAAACAGAAATCAAACCTCATAAAAACGAGACAATAACTGTACTACCGTACTTTTTCCAGCACCACTAGGACCCACCAACGCAGTTACAGTTCCACATTTTAGTCTTAAATTTAAGCCGCGTAAGATTTCCACATCTGGCCTTAAAGGATAAGAGAAATACACATCTGCAGTGTAACATAAACAGTCATTGACAGAGAAGGAAGGAGTATACATTACAAAATAAATTGGATTATCATACTAATGTAATATTATTATAGAGCTAGTTCACACTGCTAAAAGTGAAGTTTGTTTGCTTATGCAAGAGAGAGAGAGAGAGATTAAATAAGAAACTTAGCTTCATATATCAGATTAGAGATAAATAATAAAAACTAAAAATGGATGATTATGTCTTCCTCAAGCAGAAAAAAAACAGCAGTATACAGACAACCTCCCACAAGAAAATTCATACATTTTGTTACTGAAGTCATCTCATAATTAAAAAAAGAACAGGTAAGCTCCCATTACAGGAGCATTAGCAAACAGAGCAGTTCATACAGATAAGTCATATATTAAAACAGCACATCATAAGGAATACAAATAAAATTGCAAAAAAGATACCTTCAAGACAAACATCTCCAGACCAAGCTAAGCTAAATAAATTGCTTGATGTTTTTAGTGCTGACATGTAATGCAAATAATTTCTTTGGTTATTCTCCACAGAAGTATTAGAGAAAAACAGTTTATAGTTGTCATCGTCCACAGTTTTTTGTTTCAGTTCTCTTTCTAAGCCATAGGCAAGGGCATCATCAACTTGAGCTCCAGACAAAACGGAGTTGATCCTCTCAACAGCAGCAAAAGTTCCCCGAAGATCACCAAAAGTATTAACCAGTCCTTGAACCTAAAAGACATGATATCAGACAGTAAAGAGAACAAAAAAATAAAGTGAAACAAAACTCAAGAACTAAATTAGCTTACGGCGAATGTTAAAGTGAAAGTATATCCAATAAAAGATGCCATAGTTCCAACGGAGAGGTCACCCTGAGAGCAAAAACAGAGAGCAACTCAGAAATATTCAAGAATGATTTCAGTGGTAGAAATTCCTGATAAGAGAATGATGTATATGATCATAAGGATAACATATCATATAAAAGAATGAAGTTAAGTAGCAATGGCAATCATGACTGATAATATCTGTCGCAGAAGGAAAGCAGAGAAAAGACCAAGATTAGATTTGTCATTATAGAGAGAAATGAGAAAAGTTTCATAGGCTAGAATTGTTTACCGCCTTAACTTTGCTCCCTCCAAGACAATATAGTGCTATTAAAGAAATATAAACAGCAACTCTAGTCAAGGATTCATTTACAGATTTGAAAGTCCCAAGCTTTATCCCACTTGATTGGAAAGATAGAACCTGCATGGAACAAATAATTAACATGAAATATCTAGAGGCTGTCATACCTTTGTGAAATTAGCTATTGGTCCTTGATAATCTTACCTGATTAGCAAATGTAAACATTTGACGTTTTTCCCCACCAAACGATCTTACCTGTAAGTAAGCATGTATTATCACTGTTTAAGTTGTGAATTACAAATCCTAGCCTTTATAATGCACAAGACAAATGTTCATCATAAAAATATGGACCACAGGGAACTCACTGTTCGAATAGCAGCAAATGTTTCTGTCACACAATCAGATATAGATGCTTGGGCCATCCCATGGGCTTTAAAAACAGGCAAAGTTGATCTCTTGTAGACAGCTTCAGAGAACCAAAAAGAATCAGTGTGAGGGAAGGAAACATGAAATGGCAAATAACATGACTAATTTTTATTTACAAATTATGGTGTATTTATAATTCAAGCTACATACAACTGTCAGCTTGAATAAAAAACCTATTTGTGAAATTATGAAACCTCTTACCCCAACTTTTAAGAAAGGATGAGTAAAAAGATGGGTAAATTATATTTCTGCTTTTTACTATACCACAACAATGTTAAAAGGGCAAAACCAAAAAGAACAGTCATTGAACTGTTATCATCGGATACAAGGGATATTTACCAATTGAAATGGAAACTGCGAGCATCAGAATACCCAGAATTGGTGCCAGTTGAGGGGATAAAGTAAAAAGTATGAATATTGTTCCAATGACCTACAAGAACAAAGAAAACAGGAGAAGCACTGACAAGGATGAACTTGAGAAGCAAAATGCAAACTGAAATATGCATGAGTACAACATAAGTGACAAAAAAGAATTGAAGTTCTCTTTTGAAAGGCATGAAAGCATTTCTTCCACACTCAAACAACAGATTGGTGGTAAAAATGCCACTCCTCAAGAAATGAAGGAAAGTCAACCCAACAAAGTGAAAAAGGAATGAGTTATACATATGCTTAAATATAGGAAATATAAAGCTCACTTCTCATTGGTGTAGAATTGCTTGCCTCGGATAATGCCCTGAATCCACGATCCCTTGAAACATTCTCGCTAACAATATTTTTAAGAGAATCCAAATCAGATGTTAACAAACCAGTGAGTTCACCAACCTATAAAAGGCAAACCCAAGAAAGTGAATTGTTTTTGCACCTACTTTGTTAATTTACTATCATTAAGCTAAAAAAAGGAAGCAGTATTATATAACTTAAAAAAATAAAAATTTAATATTTTTTCAAAAAATATATTAGTACAAATAAAATCAAGTCACAAATAGATCAAGTTGCTGCAACAGATGGGAAGACAAAGAAAGAAGAGAAGACAGAAGAAGGACTGAAAGGAGGGAATGAAGACAGTGACAGAAGAATACTATGCACAACAATCGGGTTAAAGTGACAGAACAATAGTTATGTGCACATGGTCCCAGCACTCAACTCCAATATCTCAATAGATCACACACGTGGAAAAGTAAAAGCAAATATAATGAAAGGAATTCCGTATACATACCTTGTATTTGTCAAAAAATTCAATCTGCATAGATAAAAAGAAAAATGTATGATTAAACAACCAAAGGAAAATAACTTCTATCCAATAATTCAAACAACCATAGACATTCTAAGTTTCTAACAAATATCAATCCTCCAAGCATTATCAAAAAGAAATAACCAAAAACAGGAAAAGAAAATAAAAATGATCAGGACTGTCAGAAAGATTCAACTTTACCTTCTGAATCAATATTCTTCCAAAGATCTGAGCTCTTAGTGTTGACATGACTTTCTCCCACACTATGTTCATGTTTATAACAAAAATAACAGTTAAAAGTGGCTCCAGGGCATACAGAACTCCAATTTTACTGAGCAACCTCCATAACGGCTCAGGTCTAGCACCAATAAGAACTTCAAAAAACCGCCCTAAAAGAAAAATAACACATAAGAATGCATATACACCATAATCAACATCGAAATCATACATGAACAGTTAGTAAAAAGGAATCAAAGGATAAAAGATAGCACCCTAAATGGATAGTATCAACTACTGCAATAGCAATACCAACTTGCACAACAACCCAAAATATTTTCCATGAGGGAAAAAATTTCATCATCCCAATTTATGAAACACCAAGAAAGAATGAGAGTTTATTCAAGCCCTTCAAGAACAAATTTTCACATAACCATTTCTTATGGGCATGTAACTGAAGCAATTAGATAACAAAACATTGAATAAACAGAAAAGTTCTTAGTTAACCACTCCTTCATTGGCATGTTACATAGAAAAACAATGACTTTTCACCAATAATAACAAATCTAAACATTTCTTTTTTACTAAATAATTAATTTAGTCCCCCAAAGAGATCTAAGATGTGCTTGGATATATAGTTTAATTAAACACTAATCAAAAAGTTTTTATTAGAAAAGATCTTATTCATAAACTTGACAGTGAAGCTTATTAGACTAAACTATGAAGAGCTTATTTGACGAGCTTTAATACTTTTTGAATAGGTTAAAAAATGATTATAAAAAATCACTACATCTAGTCTTGTATACAAGATGTTTTTTAACTACTTCACAAGAATTAAGAAATAAAATTAAACTCAAACAATATTAAATTTATCAACAATTTTAATAATTTTTTCAAAATTACCTTAAAGATTAGGACTCGTTGTCTTACTCTTTTTTCACTTAATTAATTGTTTTGTCTCCACTAAGGATATTTTAAAAAAATTAAACCAAACGCTAAGACACCAGTTAAAAAAATTAAAAATAGAAGATTTTGTTAGAAAATGTATTTAATAAACCTTTCTCCGTAATTTTCAACATAGTTCATCGTGTTTTTCATTTTCAAATTTTTAACTAGTGCCCTTAGCAAGACCAAAAACTTAATGCAAGAAATAACTTGAAAGAAGTCTTATAGAAAGGACCATGAGTCCATGACAATCTCCTCAGAAGGTCTTGCTCTTCTCGTCTCATGTTAAATGTCACTTAATATCAAAGCACATATTTTAAGAAAATGATTGATTTGATTAACCAGTATGCTAAAATAAATTAATCTCATTAAAATACTCTAATTAAAATTATTGAAGTTATGACAGTAATTCATTAATAAAAATTTAAGAGTTATTTTAGTAGTTAGAATATGTTTGAGAAGGCATTTCAACTAGTTAAAAGCTTATTTAGTTCATTAAAAAATTTATTTAACAAAAATAACTTTGTTTGGTAAGGTAACTGAAATAGGCGGTTACTAACGTTTTTTATGTTATTTTTAATACTACTCTTGCTACTTTTCAGCTCCTAGCTAAAAGTAAATATTTTTTTAAAAATTTTTGCCTCTATTACTTTTTAATAATTACTCCTTTGATACCTATAATTTTTAAAATCTTATTAATTTTACCTTTTACATTCAACTTTTCCAAACAACCTTTGTCTAAATCTTATTAAAATATAACAAAATCATTAAATTTATAATAAAATTTAATTCTAAACTACGAATATATATATATATATATATATATATACTATTTTCATCTTTTAATATTACTGTTATGTATCTACCAAATTTAACAATTAATTCATTTCTCCTATTTTAACAAAAAATTTATCTTTAGAAACAATTATCGCAGAATAAAAAAAAAAAATGTTTGAACTTGAGGGAATTACGAGGAAGAGATGAGTTACCAGAAAAAATGGGCATGGATAGGGTGCAGGTGGTGCAGGCGAAGAGCGTCGCAACCGAAACAGCGAGGCGCAGTTTGTGCTTCATGAGAAGTGTGCAGAGGAGGTTCCACGTAATCACGTTCCGTGGCTTCGTCTCCTCCGGAGCCAACCCGAGGAGCTTCGGATCCGGGTCGCATAAATTAGGGTCAGTTGCGGGTCCGGTTACGTAGGCGCGTGGCGGAGAGAAGCAGCGCGCGTGGAGATGGGGGATGAGAAGGGTTGAGAGTGAAAGAGAGAGTGGTGGTTTCATAGTTCTGATACAAAGAGAAGAAGAATAAGAACGAGTAGGAGGAAGAGGAAGAGGGAGATGACAGTGACACAGTGTTGCAGAGGCCATTGAAGCTGCGCAACACCACCAGTGAAGAAACGTGGTGAAGTGGAAAACAAGGAGAACGAAAAGGGGGGATTTTTTTATTGGACATGATCACATCGTTAATTTATCAATTTTTATTTTTAATAGTTTTTTATTTGTAAAAAAAAGTATTGAAAAGGCAAAAAGTCTTAAATCTTGTTTTATTTTTCTATTTATTAATTTTTTCAGTTATTTCTGTATTTTTTAGCTGTTTTTTCTTTATTTTGCTAATATTTACTTGTAAGTATGTTTAAAACATTTATGAGAAACTTATAAATCTTACAAAATATTTTTAATTTATTTTAATAATTTTTGACATTATTTATTAAAATAAATTGTTGATAAAATTCATTATTAAATTTATAACATAATTATTACTTAAAAGAAATATTTAAATAAGTTACCTATCTAAACTTACCTCATAGGTTATTTATGCATGTTTAGTTATAGAGCTTGAATTTAGTAAAAAACAAATAATTAAAAAAATATAAGTTGATAAATTATTTTTAGTTATAAAAATAAGAGAAGTAAATGGCCTCTTATGATTACCTTTTCTCATTTTAGATAAATAAGTAAAAATTCAAAATTATGAATTGCTCGTGGAACGAGTCGAAATAGATTTATTTTTATTCTTAATTATCCCAAAATTGGATACAGATCCAGTGCAGTTAACGCGAGAATTGCACGTGCAGTTTCATTTTTGCTTAAGCAAAAATACAAAAAACGACAAAATTTTTTATATAAAATTGGCTTAAGCGAATTTTTTTTTACTTAAGCGAATTTTACAGATTCGCTTAAATGAATTATGTTTAGCTTAAGGGAATTTTGAGTTTTTTTTTTTCTCAATCTTCTTTTCTACTTCTTCTCATGTCTAATACTCTTTCCTCAACCTTTATATTTAACATTCTTTAACCTTCATATTCAACCTTCTTCCTTCTCTCATACCTAACTCATTTGTTCCTCTTACAACTCCCTCTTTCATTCACCTCATGCCCAACTCTGCTCTTCTTCTTCTTCTCACTCCCTTTCTACCTCATACCTATATCTCTCTCTTTGCTCCATCCCAAACTCTCCACCCTCTTCTCCCTTCACCACCACCCTTATACCACCCATCTTCTTATCTCTATCTATTCTCAATTCTCTCTACTTCTCATACCTAACTTTTATATCTTCTGCTTAAGCTAATTTTATATAAAAAAATTTGTCGTTTTTTGTATTTTCGCTTAAACGAAAATGAAACTGCAAGTGCAGTTCCCGCGTTAACTGCACTGGATCCGTATCCTTAATTTTCATATAACCTATATATTTACTACTAATTTACATATTAACATTTTGTGTAAATTTCTTATTTATCTTATAGTTTAAAAATTAATAATATTTTTAATGTCAAAAATTATCTTCGTGTGATGTGTAACATCCTCGAAATTAATGAAGGGTAAAACTATTGTGCATATATAAATATAAAAAAATTTATAGATATAAGAGACTTATGATATAACAAGAATATCACTACGATTTATCCTCTTTTCATCCCAAAGGGGCAAAGGCCAACTTTTTTACAATTTTCACATCAGTAAAAGACAATCAAATGCCTAATTAGAATTGCATATGCGGTTGAATTTGAAAGGAAGTAACATGAAATAGAGTAAAAGACAACTCATCAGTACTCTAGGGTAGGAGAAAAAAATAACCCATTTATTTCCATTCTACATTCTAGTTTTTTTTTTATTATGATAATCATTTATTATTAGTTAAAGATGATGTTCATTTTTTAATACGAATCTTTATGTTATATAAAAGAGAAACTTATCCTTATCTTATCTCTTCTTATTTAAGAAGGTTGATTTTACGTGGAATTTTATTTTTAAGATACTCAAAGTGTTTAATACAAAAATTAAAATGAGACTATTTTAAAATTTTAGAATAATTTAATTCATTATTTAGGAGAGAAAACAAAATTAAGATTTTATGTGAAGCTTGTAAATAGCTCTTCTTTCTCATAACTAGACAACATTTGGTGTTTATATCCTTATTTTGGTTCTTTCAAAGACGTTGAAACTGCAACACTTGCATAGCATACCTCAAATGAATAAATTATTAGGATATTGACATTTAAGTGTCATTTTACTGCATCCATTATAGTTGTTTATTACTGTTATTTATTCTTATTTATAAGAATTAACATCATCTTTTATTATTTTAACCATTTCATAGATGTTTCATAGATTATATGAATTAAAAGTCTAAGTAAAGTGCATATATGAAAATTTAAATCTCTTACATTTCTCTTTTTATCATCATTTTCTTTCTATTTTGAGACAAATGTTTGTAAAACTCCACTTCTCATCGAGTGCCTAAGTCCAACAAATTTATTGTAGTAATTATAAAGAGCAAGTTGGATGGTAAAATTTCATTGTCAATATGCCTAAAATTACTTATGAGAAAATAATAATACCCCATCACATATCCATCAAATTTTACGCACTCTTACTAATACTTTGACATAGTTACGAAAGTAATTAATTCTTTAACACTTTTATTACTCAACATAGTTGCTACAATTGTAGAAATCAATCTTATGAGTAATGCAATTTTTGGAATTAGTACATTTTCATTTTTATTTTTTAAAGACACGATTAAGTAAGGAGAGATCTTTATTTCTTTTCTTAAGAGTTTATAACTCTAATTACATGTTAAGTGTACTTTATTTTAAACATATATTCTTGTTTGTATGTGGAGTAAAGAGGATCAAAGAATTCAGTTTTATTTTATTATCGATCCCTTAGAATAATAAATTTTCTTTTATCTATGTCACATACTGATGATGCATATATCTTCGAAAATCTGTAAATAACTCTTCTTATATTGTATTTTGTGTATAAGAAACTGTTTTTTAAAAATTGAAGAAATTTTGTCTGTATAGTCTCTGCTGGGGATGAGCCAATAATTTGCTCCATACTCGTACTTTATCGATACATGGTTGAAAAGCATGAAGTAAATATTATTTTATTTGATTTTTTATTATTGAGTAGGACAAATATATAACTAAAGTGAGCATGAAAAAAACAAAAAAGGAAATTTTGATACAAATAATTATATTGACAAATATTCTAAAATGTGTGGACAAATGTTGCAATCATAAATTAGAAAAAATATATATATATGGACGCACTTGTAATTAAGAGCATTAATTGAAGGAAGATGCAACATGTAATAAACTATAATGTCATAAATTAGAAGAAAAACATGATACATATAAGATGAAAGAATTTGATCTTCCCAATTGAGGATAAAGTGCATTTATAACCTTTGTTGTTAAATTGGCCCAATCAATTTGATTTTCTCAAAATTAAAACTACAAAAAATATTTTAAAAATTGGGTAAATCGATCAGAATTAAAAAAAATTGATAAAAATTATTCCCTTAATGGTTTAAATGGTTCATGAAAAAAATTCAAAAAAATAATGTTATTGCTGATAGATGGGTCACCTTAAATTCTTCGATACTAATCATACTATTTTTTTTTCTAATTAAAAGGGTTAAGAAACTCAAATAACAAGCATAGAAATTAAAAATCTATTTTAGGGGTCTAAATGTTTAGAGAGTCAAAGCAAATAAAGGAGGACAAAAAAAAAAGAAGTGAATCAATACAAGAGAATGACAATAATTCATCTAAGTTTAGTTTGGCCAAGTGGTCAGCATATTAATTGGCTTTCTTGTACATATAATAAATCTAACAAATTGAATAAGTTTAACAACATTCCTAATTCTAACAATTAAATCATATAAAGGGTGAGCATAATTCTAAAATTAATGATAAGAAACAAATCTTCTTTTAACTTTCGTATTATTCTCTATTCAAATAGTGTGAATCTCTTTCTGGATAATAAGATCAAAATTTAATAGGATACTCTAAAGTTAAACAACTATAGGAATGCAAGAATTAAGTTTTTTTTATAGAAACTATAGATGAATGGACCTTGAGCATTCTTGATTAAGCCACTACAAGCAACAACTTTGGTTTGCAGGAGCAGCTTCATCAACATTAAGCTTCTATTAATGAATAGGGGGAGAAACCCATTTTAATTCGAGCTTGATCCTTCACAAGCTATTTAAAAGTCCTAGCTATGTTCCCATAACATGTAAAGAAAGCTTGCAAATTAAAAAGAATTTTTTGAATGAGGCCCAAAGGATGGACAGAAAAATTATTAAAAATAAGATTATTTTTCTCCTTTCTTAGGTATCAAACAACAATCCCAAATAAATTTTTCCAATTGGAAAATTTACTAAAATTTTAGTTTGACAGATTAAATATTATCTAATCAGAAATATCTTTACTAAACAAAGAAACTCACTGTTCAAACAAAATAAAGGACTCTCATACTTCCTTAACATAAGCACAATATCTAATAACACAAATAACAAATTCATCTTCTTCATTACATCTGGTACATGATAAAAAATAACATAAATAACAAATTCATCTTCTTTATTACATCCAATACATAAAAGAAAATTTGACAGACCTCGTATGCATCTTTTAACATTAGTGAGGAATTTATTATGAACTAATTTTTAAAAAAAGATTTTAACTTTGAGAAGACCTTCTCATTTCCAAACCGCATCATACAAATTATGCCAATAATAACATTAATAATGACATAATATCTTCACACTTGAGATGAGAATGTTATCAAATATTATCTTTATATTAAATGTAAGATTATCTGAGACATTAATATAACATTAATTTAAAAATATAAATTTAAAAACTTAAGATTATAAAATTAAGAATTGTAAGAAAATTTAAATTTAATTTTTATTTTTATGCATATCAACTAAACTTATTTCAACTAATTATTTTTATTAAAATTAAATTTTTATCATTCCTACTTTTATTTTTAAAATTTTTAATTTTATAACTCAATCAATCATAAATTTAATTTATATTTTTATAGAAAAATATGTCAATTAAATTTATCACAACTTTTTTTATTAATAATTAAAATATTTTTAAAATTGTGATATTTTAAATATTGTTAAATTAATATCACCG